CTTCATGACTGTTGGCAAAGCGTTCCATGTGACCATGTTGTGAAGCTGGTTGAGAGAAAGCCGAGAGCATGCAAAGCAGTCATCAAAGCAAAAGTGGCTACTTTGAAAAATCTAAAATTGAGACCATAGAGTATTTCACTTTGTTTATTACATAATTCCATATGTTATTTCATAATTTTAATATGTTAAGCGTTAATCAACAATGTAGAAAAGAACAGAAACAAAGATGCATTTGTGTTTGAAATCATCAATTACATAACTCTTATGCTTTATGTCATGTTACTGCTTATTGATGCTTTAAGATTATACAGTATGATAGACCACATATAATATGGTACATTATCCACCACACAAAGGCAACGTGTTTAGTAAGGACACTGTTTGAATGAGGTATTAGTTCTTGTGCTCGTCAAACAATAACGGCACCAAAGAATAGTTTCAGTCGAGTCACCATTACCAAAGTCATTTACACACGACTGACACAGCTCTCACCATTTTAAAAGGAGTTTTTACTGTTTGTGACACAACAGCCAAACAAATGCAAGTTTTAACATCAACATCTTACGCCAATTTATGGCCTTTTATACACACACAAAATTCTTATCTCCAACTTCCGAGTCCGAATGCAGTCTATGCTCAAGTCACAGTCCAAGTCCTAGCCATCAGTACTCAAGTCCAAGTCGAGTCATGAATCCTGAAATTCAGGACTTGAGTCAGACTAGAGTCCGAGTCCTGGACTCAAGTACTACAACACTGCCGTGCAAATATGAGTCATGTCCTCACACCAAAGTAAACTTTATTCATTGCTGAAGATTAATATATATTTTTTTCTTTTTCTGGGCCATTTAAAAAAAAATACTGAATGTAAACATCAGTGTGATCTACTCTCAAACTCGACAGTAACAATTTTCATAACAATAAAACCCTGATGTCTAGTTTTCTAATCAAGTTTTCCAATATACAAAATCATGGCCTGGCTCATTTTTGAAGGAAGCAATGTGCAAAAACCTTGATTAGACGGTAATTTTTCCCCCCACTGAATGAATATCACAGCAATCTTCTCATGTAACAAGCCATTATGCACAAAATGCTCATCAAACACAAAATGGGTTTGCATTTTTTCCTGAAGATATGGTGATTAAATCATGTATAATGTATGCACACCACAATGATATTCATAATGAGTACAAAGGCAAAGTTCTCTATGGAGGATGGATAATGATGCAGATGAGACTGGATTTCAACCAGTGAGGTTGAAGAGCTGCAGCAGAGACCGTTGACGGGTTTAGACTGTTAGGGCCAAGTTGTGGGCTAACTAACCTTTATCCCACAGAAAGATAAGGCTCAGCAGAGAGCACAGGGCTATAGAAGGAGGGAGGGAAGGGGAGGATTAATGATAGGGGGGGGGGCAGGGAGGATGGTGTGAGAGTGATAACTATGTTTACATGCACACAAGGAACCAGGTTACTGTGAAAAATCAGGTTAAGGAAGAAAGCACATTTACACACATTGCAATTCCTCCGTTACTGAAAACGTATATGTACCGCACATCCAGTTGATCGGTAACCACATTTCACCCCAACCCTCCTATCATTATTTGTTAACCAAAGCGCTCACATTTTAAGATAATTTGTGATATATGCCGCTGCAGTTTGAAGAGCTTTTAGTGGTGAAAGGACTCAACAGTAAGACGGCAGTTTGCATTTAACTGTGCACGCAAGGCTTTCTTAAACCAAATGACATTACACACCTTATTTTGCAATTTTTTACTTAAAGTAGTGAAATCAAAGACGTGTAAAAAGCTGTAGCTTTTGCCTGTACATTGTTCCATCTGTAGAAAACATTTCTGCTGTTGTATCGTTTTCCACTGTACAATTTTCTATTTTTCTCTTTAATGCCAAATAGTTTGTGTAATTCCCAACATCAAAACATTTTAACAAAAATTTTCATTTCAATTTCACATACATCAGAATTTTTAGAAACAACCTGCAGTTCACCTGCGGAGACAGAACTAGTCAGACTTCTGTATTAAAATCTTAAATGCAAGGAGATGCCAAACATGTAAGAATCTTTCCTTTCACTGCAGCACTGTCTTAAAACATACTGTACTGGTGTGGTCTGGTGAAAATCTGGTTAGACTCCTGGCTGAGAACGTACATGACCAATACTTCCCCTTTCCAGCAAGGTAAAAAAAATCTAAACAGAAGAACAAGCAAGGAAATGGGGGAAGGGAGAAAGAAATGGGAGGCAGCAACAATTGGAGGGGGGGCGTTGAACAGTCATCAGAAGATCAGAGATAAGTAAACAAGCAGAGAGGAGACAGGGTTTGTGAAAGAGTG